ATGATATAATATTACTGTGGAAAAATTACTAAGAAATTTAAAAAATAGATTTTGCTCTATATTCCTCCACATCCTTTTCATGAAGCAAAAAGGTGGTGAGCACAAGAATCATGACATAAATGCTTCTAGTTGATCTGACAAAGATATTTTTCATTTTCTTTCTATAAAACAAACAAAAAAAACTAAGATTTCTCACACTAAATTAATAAAAAAGAAAAAAGAAAAAAAGAACTGAACACAACTGGTCAAATGAATGAAAACTGTTTTGGAAGCTTGTCCAGAGTTATGAAACGTCTAATATAAAAAACTGATAGTGACCTCCTGACCCATTTTCTTTATCATTTTCAGTACTGTATTTTTTTTACCAGCCTAAGTATGTGAAATTGATAAAACTTTATAGACTCCTGTGAAAAATTKTATGCGCTCAGGCTTCTCTTACCTCAGCACTTGCTTCTGTAACAACCTCGGATTGCTGAGCGTTATGGGGGTCTCACTCCCAAGTCCTGTGAGCAGAAAGAAAAAAATGTTTTACTAGTCGTTCATTAGTTCCAGTTTGACAAACAGAACCATTATTTAGGGAAAAATTCACTGTAGATAGGCACCTTAATTTAAAGCCTGTAGCCTGCCTGTCTGCAGCTTTTTGGCACAGAACCACGTTAAGTGGACTTCAATACAGAAAACACGACCCTTTAAATCATAAACAGTTATTTATCTATTAGCTAAAAGATCATCACTCAACMCTTTGACTACAAACACCAACCAACACACAAAAAATTACTTCATTCAGATTCAAAGACACAACAAACCCTCCTTAAAAGTCAGTCTAAGTGCCCTGAATGCAATCTTAGCTCACAGTATATCAGCTCTGCAGACAGTGCAGCTTTAAAAGYGCCAAGATGAGTCAAAGCACACCTTTCTTCATGCTCAGCATTTAGATGCTGTAAATGCAGAAAAAAGAAACTTTGTGGGGAAAGCAATTTTATTACTTTCTCTACACCTTACATATTGTTGTGACGTTAAAACATAAGACAGACACAAATCTACACCTGCYTGCAGAGATGGTTGAATTATAGAAAGAAAAGCAAAAAAGTGATATACGTGTAAACGGTGTAATAGCAAAGAAAGCCAAATAATCAACTCTCCACCAACGTGCTTGACAATTGGTTTAAGACGTTTTTGATTTTTAACATGGCATTACAACTAAACATGTCCACTTTGATTTTCTGTGGCTAGAGATACACAATTTTTCAACGTTTTTTGCAAAACAATATTCAAGAAATCCACCAAACAGTGACATGGGTTTTTTTTTGTATTGAAGCAAAATTCTGACACAATTAGCCTCATTAGCAGTACAGATTAACAGATTAGTTTTTGTTTTGTCTAGAAGATTTAAAAAAAGCTCACAGTCCATTTTACAATGTTCTCTCACAAGTTCACTTTGAATATTTTCAAACATTTTCAGAAAAACAAAACTTTATAGCTTAAAAGAACACTCTGCTCCAATAAKCCTTGGCTTATTCTAGTGTTGAGCGATATTGGCAAAAAAAAAAAGTCAAATAATTGTGGCCTTTAGCTGATAATGATCAATATAACGATTAATCTCCTGGAGTCCCTGGACGCCTGCATGTCCTAATTACATGACCAATTTAAATTACTCTACTGGAAATGATAAGGTCTCCCAAAATTCTTAAATTAGTGTCAAAAGTACTGACTTGAAGCTATACACCAGTTTTTAAATTGTGTTGGAAGACCGAGACACAACAGGACTGAGTAATGACATTTAAGAGATACTTTTAGAGATGGATTTAGCAAMATGTTTGGATTTTAGAGTTAGGGTGTATTATAATTAGGGATGCACCGATATGAAAATTTCAGCCGATATCGATATCCGATATAATTATTTGTGTTATGGCCAATAACCGTTATTTACCGATATTACACAAACACACAAATTATATTATACATATACACACAAACACACTTGGGTCTTTTTTTGATACTGTAAATAAACAACCTGACCTCTGACATGACTCTCTACTTCAGTTATTCCTGGYTACGCAGCGTAAATATCACTATCATGATCAAACAGATGCCGCTCAACCAACCGTCTCACCTCCCAAAACAGAAACACAAAAATCACAAATGGGAAATCAATATTGAACATTAATATCTGYCCCGTTTTACATATCGGACCGATACWGATATTCTAAAAAAAATGACCAATTTYGGCCGATACCGATATCAATACWGATATATTGTGCATCCCTAATTATAGTGTGATAAGCACTAAGTTTAGTCAGTTTTGTCRTTGAGTGAAAACAATGAGGCAATGTTTAAGWGAAGCTGCAGCTGGTGAGGTGGAAGTGAGGCTGTGGACAGATGGACCGAGCCGCAGTCAGAACCATCGCGGAGAGGAGGGAAGCTCGAAGGCAGGGATGGAGGGGAAAACAAYGTCTGAGACYGAGTGAGGACTTTGATGAGGAAGGAGGAGATCCATTACTGGGATTATAGAGTAAAGAGAAGAGGAGTGCCGAGCGGACTGACCAGGGAAATCCCCAGTCACCTGGCAGCATTAATCGTATTAATCGCCAACTGCCCAAAAAATAAATTGGTTAGATTTCTAACGATTAACTGCCCACAACACAATTTTATCCAGCCCTAGCACATATACATGTGCAATAAATACAGGCATTTACTAAACAACAACATAATTACAACTCAGGGTCTGAGCATATGTCAGAGTTTAAAYGCAGGATTAACTTTGGGATTAAAASAACCTCAATCAAAAACATGTTTAAGCRTTTKCTTTACATCACACTGAAAAACCACATCAAATCTTAATGCCCACCAACTCCACAACACTTATACCCGTAAGGAGAAAAGAACTTKAAGAGATTTAGAAATCAGAACAGAGCATAGCCAAAGCAACAAAGAATTAGAAGATTTAAAGAGACGTGAATAAGCCAATTATGTCTTAAACAGCTAACAACTATACAAGCAGCTGAGTCACAAAGTTAATTCTGGACAGGAAATAGAAGCCAAAATGCAACGGCTCTGACACATTTTATACTAAAGCCTTAAAAGAAGCCTCAGTACACAACTTCTTCCTCAATAGGTCTTTGTACTCACATAAAAGCCTGAAACCACAGACCACCTGTTATGGAGTTCCAGTCAGTAAAACACAGAAATCAAATCAACACCTAACACTAAAAACATGGTCAAAGTTAAATTACTGCTGATATAACATCTGTAGATTTTGAAGAAAAAAAGAACATTAAAATTTGATAAGGGATCACTTCATGCAAACAGGGTATAAATCTCAAAAACAAACCTGTTTTTAAACTCTTTCAATTTTGTGAACATGTTAATATCAAACGGTAATTAAATATGAAAAAAAGCTTGATTACTTTTCTAAAGTTCTAAGAATCCAAACCCTTGTGTCAACAAACTTCACATTGTTTTTAACAGGTTACAGTTGGACAGAAAAATATTGTGCTGATTGTCTTCACTGGTCCACTCTTGTATAGAAACTTGTCACTTGCTTAAAGCACTTTGACAAAACATTTCAAGCAGAAACTTCTAGCTGCCTGGTGTGATTTCTGAATGGACTGAGGTAGAATGAGAGGCTGTAGTCAATCAGTCATTTATGCACCTTTGAGCCAACAAGTGAGGTAATAGCAGAGCTAAAACATTTGAAATGTGAAAAGGTAAGCCAGCTCTGGAGCACAATGAGTAGCATTGACACAGTCTGAGAAACCATCTAAATGTCTAAAACAATTAAAAATAAATAAAATCACTACAGCGAAAACTGATGAAGCATGTCAAATTTTAATTGAAGGTTCGTTAACAAGACACCTCATTGAGAAACTGAACATGTTATGGCCACCACTGTGTGTCTTCTGAATGCACTGATGTGGCAAGGGGGATCGGAGACAGCCCATCTCTGTGTCACAGAGCGAGGTGGTAACAGAGCTGGGTAGGCTGACATGAAAAAAACCCTGATGTGTCGCAGTTCAGTGCTGTAATGAACTGATGACTGTGTGTGACCGCCTACTCACGAGACTGAACTAGTGTTGGGCAATATTGGCAAAAAAAATAATCACGATTAATTGTGGTATTTAGCCGATAACGATTAATTTGACGATTAATCCCCTGGAGTCCCTGGACTACCCCATGTCCTAGTCACATGACCAATTTAGTGGGAAAGATTTGYTCTTTGTAAAAATCTGTTCCAAACTGTGTCAAAATTACAGAGTTCRGGCTTTAMATYWAWTTTTAAATTGTGTTGATAGATAAATAAATTACAGAACTTTTTCTTTTTAATGTAATCGTCATATTTGAAGCAGAGAGGAGCACCGAGCGGACTGATTGTAACATTAATCGTATTAATCGTCAAGTGCCAAAAAGTAATGGATTGTTTTTCTGATGATTATTTGCACACGATACGATTATGCCCAACCCTAGATTGAACACAACACAGTTCCATAACCGAGGGAATATTTATGATGCAAAGCAAGTTTGTAGTTAGTTTGAAAAAATGTTAACAGTGAGAATTGTTAGTTTATTAATAATGTTTTGTAAATAACACAAGGGAGACGTCTGTCACATTTAATATGTCATGATCCWCTTCAGCCCAGCTGAGTTCAGCTCCACGCCTCTTTGGTTACATACGGCCAGCTTCATTTTTAAATGCTTAAATCTGAGTGGGAAGTGGCCCGCTTCATGCGAGTTATGGATCACCAGAAAGCTTAAAAGACAGACTGGTCTTTGGGCCCATTTCACAGAAATGTCTTAGGAACGAGCCTAGAAAGCCATCACAGGATGCACCGCTACACCCAAAAGCCTTTTGGATTCAATCTTTTTCAAGGTAACCAGGACAGCTGACTGACTTTAGAAAAACACTCCAGACTGCCACATTTTAAAACATCAGTATACAAGGCAGTGGGCAAATCCTACCTTCATTCTAGTATTTTTAATGTAGAAATAAGTAGATCACAGGTAGTGGAGGAACAGTGTTTTGTTCAAGGACACATCTGCACACTGCAGGGTTGGGAATCAAACTCCCAATGAGACCATCCTACTACTGAGGTAATAAGCCCTGAAGTTTTCTGGGTATTTTGTTTTTGTTTTTATCTGGTAAACTGTTCACTAGAAACCAAGATGCAAARTGATTATGGGAAAGTTTTTGTTAAATATAAAAAATATGCCGCGCTCTTACACAAGTTAATGGATGAATTAAAAGTTAGAAAGTACAAAGAAAAACCTAAACAATACATAGTGTCAGAGGCTACAGCTGCTGTTCAAGGACAGCTGAGTGGACARTAAGATACAGAGCAAGAGGAAGGGACAAACTGCAGCTTGTTGTCTGCCAGCTTCTGCAAACTCTGATTCTCAATGCACACACAATCACAAACGCGTACCTAAGCTGCAACTTTCAGCTTCAAATGTGAGTTCTGTTCTGAGYTGCCACTGCTCTTACCTTGGCTGCAAACCTGCACATGAG